AGAAATTTTTCAGGAAATAAATAAGTGGTTGACCATTTCTTCATGATATTTGCACAGGTAACATATGCTGGTCATATTGAATCCTATGTCCTTCAAATGATCTGCTGTCAATATACTGTCCCTTGCAACCAGCCATGCAAATGCCTCTACCCTAGGAGGGACTGGATTGCCCCAAACACCTTCAATCTGATTTGAGGCCAATTGGTCCCTACACAATGCAAAGTAAAATGATTTCACAGTAAATTTTCCATTCATCATTCCTTCCACCATTGCTCATCCCTTCAATGGACTTCAATTTTCACACTTTCCAGCTTCTCCAACAGTGCAATGCATTCTTCTATCTCCCTTTCAAGCAATGTCCACCTGAACCTTGGACACCAAACCAGCTGTTTCCCTCTACTTTCATAGCAATTCATGATGGTCGCTTTAGCATCAACTAGTCTATATAATCTTGGGCATAACTCACAAAGTTCTCCAAGCTGAATCCTGAAACCAAAGCTAGAAACTTAACCTGCAGCACCAAAACTTAAAGAATTAACTCCCCAAAAACACACTGCAATACTCCCACACAAGGAGAACTCTTCCACTACAGTCAGCTGCACTTTGAATTCTTAATCCGGGATTAGACTAGGACTTTCTAATCAGCACTCCTTGTAGATCTATCCTAGACCAGACCTCTCTAGTAGACGAATGAAACTGGCTTCAAGCAAATTATAGTAGGGCATAAAATTGGGCTGAAAGCTTCCTGTAGTCCCTACACCCAAAGGGAAACCCTAGGGACAGATCCTTTGTGAGGTACAACCAGACGTGTCTCTTTAACCAGCAAACAGAAGAAAAGAAGAAGAATAAGAAAGAAGAGAGAAATGATGAGATCATGAGAAGTAGATAGTCGGATAAAGCACAGACAGATCTTCAATGTACTGATAGTCTGATACTATGTTTGCAGACCTGCAATGAAGTTATAGAGCATAGAAGAGGGAAACAGAGAGAAATGATAGTTTTGGGCAGCAAAAGAGTGCATCCATCCAGCTCTAAGAATAGTATTTATATTAACATGCTAATAATACAAAACAGTAAACTTTTGCCCCTGATTAGCAACATCACTTAACTAATGACAAAAAGCCAGCTCACAGGGTCTAGCCCTAGAGGTGCTTTTGTTCTTTTTCTTAGACTGCTGTAGTTTGTGCTGGTCATGTATTAGGCTGTGCCTCAATTTTTTTCTCCTTTCTCTCTGGTGATATCTTATCCCCTTCCTCTTGCATTCTCTATTTGTTTTTTAATGAAATTTATTTTTACTTTTCAAAAAATTAAAAGAAATAAAGGCCCACATGAGTAATAACCCATTACAACAATCTCTACAAGTACCATAGTCGATTCTGATTGTCACCATCACCAACAACAATATAGTTTGCTCTCAACCCTTTGATTGACCTGTTTGTAAGCCAATCATGGACCTCTGCCACCTCTACAAAAGTGATCCTCCCCAATTGGTTCCCAATATTTTGGTCCACCTAATGCAGATAGGGAGATGCACGAAGGAGAGGAGAGTGACCTGACAGAGGAGGAAAACAATTTGAGTGGGTCTGCTATTGCCTTAGAAAGAGGTGATGTCTCTGGAGGTGGAGGAAGTGACTTTTGGTGAACTTTGTCTGCCTTCCCAAATCAAAGACACTGTTGCTGGAAATTGTTTGTTCGAGGAGGTGGTGATTGGGAAGTTAGGTGTGGATTTGGGCAGGAGGGGAGAGGCTAAGGGAGATTTAAATGGGGCTGAATCTGTGACATCCAAAAAGACTCGAGGAGCCTCTGGAGTTAGATATTCTCATACTGTTCATGTAACCAAAATCTTTTCTCATCTGAAACTTGGTTTAGCCGGGTCTGGGCCTAAAAAGAACTATAAAAAGGGTGTATAAAAGAAGGAAACTAATATCCCAGAATTGTCAAGGCTAGAGATGCCACCCCTAGGCGCATACCCAAACCCAAACCCAAACCCATGTAACATTATATACAACTACAGTCACATATACGATCCCATCTACCCAGTATAGGATTATATAATGCACATATAAACTAGAGAATGATCCCCTACTAGGCTACTAAGTACAGGGCAACTGCACCTATGTATCCTTTTGTTTTTTATTTTTTAATAATAACACTTTATTTGAGATTCACTATTGGTAATTAAATCTAATTTGAATTTCTTATTTAATTTAAGAAATTAAATCAGGTTTAATTTATAATTTAAAAGTCTTTATACTAACTCTTTTATTTAGAAGTGTTCACGGTTCAATTAACCGAACCATGGGCTTATTTTCCAAACCAAGCTGGTAGTACCAGTTTTTGGAAAACCAGTAACTGAAACAAAACTGAAGTCGATCAGTTAACCAGTTGATCAGTTCAGTTAACCACCGGTTCCATTTGTCAGTTTTTCAGTTTTTTATTTTTATAATATATTACAAATAAATATATAATATATAATAAAAACTAGAAATACAAATAAAATATTATATTATAAATACTAAATAATATATTGTATATTATAAATATATACATATATATTTATATATATATAACACATATATATTCATTCATATTATATAGATAATATAAAATATATATCAAAAATATATATAATATACAAAATATAATACATACATACATATATATATACATGTATACCAGTCAGTTCGGTTAACTGGAATGTTTGGTTCAATTCGATTTTTTGGTTTTTCCATTTTTCATGATCACCCTACTTTTATTTGAATTAAGAAATTGAATTACAAAGATTAATTGGGTGGTCCCACGTCCTTTGGAGTGGATACTTTTTTAGGTAGGCATGTGTCTAAATTTAGCATTTTTTTAGAATGGAGTTAACTACTCTCACTTTTTCTAAGAGTGGGTAGACACGTTAGAGGAAGAGACATTCTCTTTGAGAGTGGAGTTATATCCACTTCTAAGATGCTCCTTGAAAAAGTAGTATGCCACTTGTCTAGAAGAAAAGCTCTCTAATCCGATGGCTTTGTTTTAATATATATAATAGAGAATGACCCCCATACAAGTACGGGGTAACTACACCTATGTGTCTTTTTTTTTGGGTTTTTTTTTGTAATAATATCATTTTCTTTGAAATTCACTATTTACCTAGTAATTATATCTAATTTCAATTTCTTATTTAATTTAAATAATTAACTCAGATTTAACGTGTAATTTAAATTTCTTTATAATAACTTTTTATTTGAATTAAGAAATTGAATTACAAAGGCTAATATGGGCTCCAGCCAGTAATTATATCTAATTTGAATACTTAAATCAGATTTAATTTGTAATTTAAAAGTCTCTTTAATGATTCTTTTATTTGAATTAGGAAATTAAATTACAAAGATTAATATGGCCCCATATAGTAAGTATATCTAATTTGAATTTCTTATATAATTTAAATATTAAATCAGATTTAATTTGTAATCTAAAAGTCTTTAATGATTTCTTTGAATTAAATGAGAAAATTAAATACAAAGATTAACATGGGCCCCACATCACTTGGAGTGGAGTAGTGGACACTTTTCTATGGGTAGCCATGTGTCTAAAATTAGTAATTTTTTGTAATTTAAATCTTTATAATGATTCTATTGAGTTTTGGGCTGATATCACTTGTTTTTTATTTACATAATATAGTTAGGGAGTTATTGGGTCCGATCCTTGTTAGGGGAACTTGGAGTCCCGGCCGAAGAACCTATGGTGCTATACTGTGGCAATCAAGCAGCAACTAACATTGCCCACAAAGCATATAGAAGTGGATAGACACTTTATAAGGGAAAGGGTGACATCTAGAGAAGTGTGCTTACCATATGTTGCATCTGACTTGCAACATGCTGATGTTCTTTCAAAAGGTATTGCAAGAAGCAAGCTAGAGCATGATCTACGCAAGTTGGGAATGTGTGACATCTATTCCCAACTTGAGGGGGAGTATTGAGTTTTGGGCTGATATTACTTGTTTTTGATTTACATAGTATAGTTGGGGAGTTATTGTGTCTAAGGCCCATTAGTTTATGTTTAAGTTAAAGAGTATTTAGATTTTACAAGTAGCCAACTTACCAAGGGCACACTTGTCTTTGTATTCGGTTTTTATTTGTGAGTATATAAGCTAATGAAAGGGGAGGCCAAACCTAATTTTGGCTTCTCCCATTCTCTTCAATTTCTCTCCTCTTTTCTTCTCTGCATAAGCCTTCTCTTCTCTTTCTTTTTCTCTTTCTTACACAAATCTTATATCAAAACAGAATTTCTACACTTTTCTACTGATTCCTTTGGAGTGAACACTTTTTTCCATGGAAAATTGAATTACAAAGACTAGTATGGGCCACACATCCTTTGGAGTGGATACTTTTTTTCTATGGGAAGCCATGCGTCTCAATTTAGCACTTTTTTTTGAGAGTAGAGTTATCTACTCTCACTTGTTTTAAGAATGGGCGGACACATGTCTGAGGAAGAAAGCTTCTATTTTGGGGGGGAGCAACCACTTCTAAGTTCTAAGATGCTCTTTCTTGAAAAGATAGGATGTCACTTGTCTGAAGGAAAAGATCTCTGCTCTAAGGGCTTTCCTTTAATAAAAAAATATATCGGATTTGGTGTTTTTAAAGAGTGACATTAGCACATCTTGTTTTTGATAAACCAGACAATATTATTTCATGATCCCATCTACCCCATATAGGATTGTGCAAAGCACATCTAAAATCGGCCATTTTAAGAGAAAGTGACCTGCGTACATCCTATTTTCTGATAAACCACACAAAAATTCATAGCCAAAGGAGAAAGAAACACCTAATTATAATGATGCAAAAAAATATCAATTCATAGGGTGGTTTTTGTCTTTAAACATGTAATTTTGGACTTTTGGTTAGGGGCATAACCCCTTTATCAAAAATGGGATATCAGCAAAATCAGTCCCCTTTAAGAATTAGCTGAAAGGAAAATACAAACAAAAAAGAAAAAGATAAAGCATAACTTACGCAGTTGTTGCAGTTCTGGACCGATCTACTCCTGTTCCTTTTCCACATCCAGGCTTCTGCCTATTGGTGACATTCTGAAGAAGAGAAATCAAAGGGTCAAAAGAGAATTTTTATATGTGCAAATGAACAGGAAACATGCAAAAAAATAGCATTACTTCTCTGTCAATCTCTTCAATTTTTGATTTTACTGAACGAGCAATCTTTCCAACTTCATCTACATCTTTCTCCATTCGCTGTTTGATTGCTGCATATAATGATATAACCATGACTTGTAAGTTCAAAACATCACTGTTGAATAACGTGGGTGATAAATAGATTCATTGAAGACAATGGATGGAAAGTAATAAAACTATTTAGTTTCAAAAATGCTTCCATTCCTTCTAAGCATAATTCAAATCTAGCATTCGTAGGTAGTCAGGTATGTCAGACCAATATCCTATATGAACCCATGTTCTTAACCTGGTGCACCACTTATATCAGGGCTTTAGGAAGCAAAGAGGCCATTACCCTATGTTGTTGGCCCTGGCTATCCAGGTGTTGGTAAGGGGTGATCTAGATACAGACCCAACCCTTGGCATTTCTTACAAAGTTATCATTTTCAGACTCAGAGTCATATTCTCACTCATCAGGCTGATATTTTAACACTGAATGACTGAATCTAGAAATTGCTCCTTATTTGAATCCAAGTTTGAGTGATGGCCCAAAACAAAGAAAATCCTAAATATTATCAAGTACAAATTTACAATAGGTTTTCAAACGAAACAAAAAGGTTGTTCCAGGGGAACATAACAACTGCACCTTAACATCTGAATTTACAGCTCAGAGTTACATCTCTTCTTTCTGTTTTGATCAGTAACTTTTAAGTTTCATATATCCTTTCAGTAAAGAAACTAGATAGTAAGACTAGTGAAAAGCTTTTAAATGTTTGTGATTATAATCTGTAGCCTTTCCTCCCATAGCATTCAAGTACAAGAAAAAACATAAGCAAAATTATCCTCTTTTTATAAGTCACGGTTTCTTGCTGTAGAATTCATCCAAGGGGAATATAATAACTGCACCTTAACATCAGAATCTACAGCGCAGAGTTACATCTCTTCTTTCTGTTTTGATCAGTAACTTTTAAGTTTCATATATCCTTTCACTAAAGAAACTAGATGGTAACAATAGCAAAAAGCTTTTAAATGTTTGTGATTATAATCTGTAGCCTTTCCTCCCATAGTATGCAAGTACGAGAAAAAATAAGTATCGTGGTTTAAAATGTCCATGTATTTCCTAATATTTCCATGGCATATTTCCATTTCCATGGGTACCAAGATGATTTTTTTTACTATCGATCCCCAATGGAAACTACTGGCTTTATGTGGAGAACGAGAGATGATATTCAATATAAGTTGGTGAAAATAGTGTAGAAATGTGTAGCATTTTTCCTTCTTTTTTTTTTTGAGAGAGAAAAAGTAGAGTATCATTGTATTAAATATGAACAAAATATACAGCAAGATAAAGTGCTAAAGGAAACCAGAAAACTGATCCCTCTAAACTTGAACCCCACCCTGCTTTACAAAAAGATTATCCTGTACAAAAAAAAGGACTCAAAGCCTATACCCCTAGGCCCTAAGCAGCCTGTAGCCACTTACCAGACAACCAAGAAAACATCTTCCCCAAAATTTTCTGAAAAATGGAGTCAGCAGAACTTGTCTTATTTTTGAAAACCCGACTGTTTCTTTCTTGCCACAGACCAAAAAACCACTGCTGAGGTTAAATTCCAAACTAATCTTCCTCTTTTACTCAAGCCCTCCAGTCTCCAACCTTTTACAAAATCCTGTACTGAACCTGGGCAGCATCTTTTCACTTCAAATAATTGTGAAATTCTGTTCCAGATCTCGAAAGAAAATTTGCAGTGAAGTAATAGATGATTCATTGTTTCCAGATGTCCTTCACATAGGACACAGCTATTTGAGTCCAGCAGAGCACCTTTCCGAGAGAGGTTATCCCTTGTAAGTATTCTGTTGAGGTAAGCCGTCCATACAAAAAATGAAATCTTTGAAGGCACATTTTTACTCCAAATGATGTGGATTGGAACTGAAAGTCCTTCAGAACTGTCCACCTTGTAAAAAGATTTGACTGTAAACCTTCCAGTCTTCTCCCACCTCTAGATTCTACTATCATCCCTTGTTGCCTCCACTAGAGTACTGTAAAGGAGTTGCAGAAGTTCCTGTAAAGGAGTTGCAGAAGTTCCATCCACTCCACTTCCCAATCATTTAGATTCCTCCTGGATTGTGGGATCCAAACCACATTATCATCTTGGATTTGCAAACTTTCAGCAACCTTATCTTCCTTGTTTGCTTCAACTTCAAACAAAACAGGGAACCTCTCGTTCAAAGGTCTCTCCCCACACCAAACATCATTCCAGAATTTGACCCTTTCCCCATTTCCTACTTTGAATTTCACACCTTTTGCAAACCAATGGTAAGATTTCACAATAACTTTCCAAACTAAGCATCCATAAGAGTGATTTGAAGTTCCTGGATCGCATCCCATATTTCTAACGCCATACTTGGCCTGCACCACCCTTTTCCACAGCCCTCCTTGACTTTCCCCAAATCTCCAAAACCACTTCCCCAGCAGAGCAGTATTCATACTTTTCACTCTTCTAACCCCCAGACCCCCTACAGCTTTGGGCTAGCATACTTTGTTCCAGTTCACCAAGTGGTATTTCTGAACTTTCCAGCCTCTCCAGAGGAAATCCCTCATCTTCTTTTCGATGATAGCAGCCATTCCTGCCGGGATTGGGTACAAGGAAAGCAGATAATTTGGGAGGGAGGATAACACACCTTTCACCAAGGTAACCTTGCCTCCATTAGAAAGATACTTGGTTTTCCAGGATGCTAGCTTCTTTTCAAGTCTTTCAATAATTGGCTCCCAGATTGTTTTGGAATTACATTTAGCACCTAGGGGCATGCCCAGATATTTTAGAGGCAGTTTTCCCACCTTGCATCCCCACAAATCCGCCCAACTGGCCAGCTCCTGCACCTCTCCCACAGCCACTAACTCACTTTTGTTTAAGTTAACTTTCAGGCCCGAGACTACTTCAATCCATTTTAGCACTGACATCACAAAATAGAGTTGCTCCTTCAATGCATCACAGAAGATCAAGGTGTCATCAGCATACTGCAGTAAATTAACCTCCACCCTCTCGTCACCTACTGTAAAGCCTTCTAGGACCCGACCCCCCCCCCCGAACCAGACCTCTTCACCAATCTGCTTAAAACACCCATCACACAAATAAACACGAAAAGGGGATAGTGGGTCCCCTTGCCTGATTCCTTTCAAACTTTTGAAGTTTCCAGAAGCTTTCCCATTTACTAAAACAGAGAAGGAAGGAGTACCAACACAAACCTTCATCCAATTTATCCATTTAGAGCCAAAGTTCATTCTTCTAAGCACATAGTCTAGGAAACTCCAGTTCACATGATCATATGCTTTCTCCAGATCTACTTTGCATATCAGCCCACCCCTTCCACTTCTCAGTCTTGAGTTGATCGGCTCATTTTCCACTAAAACCCCATCTACCATCAGCCTTCCTTCTACAAAAGCTCCCTGGCACTCCGAAATAATGTGCCCCATGACTAGCTTCATCCTTTTTGCTAGCACCATTGCAAGGAATTTATACATGGTGCCTATTAGACAATAGACCTGTAGTCTTTAACACCCTCAGCCCCTTTCTTCTTTGGGACTAGAATCATCCTTTCTGAGGTTGTTAATATATGGAATTCCTCTAAAATTTCATGATGTCTGTCTTCAGAAAATCCCAACACCTTTTGTAGAAAGACATGGTGAAACCGCCTGGTCCTGGAGCTTTGTCCCTTTCCATATCCATAATTGCCTCTCTCACTTCCACTTCCTGGAAATCCCTCTCTAGCTCCCTTGCTTGCTCATTTATCAGTCCATCAAAGTTTAACCATCGAGTTTGGGCTCCTATTTCCAGTCTTCTTTATAAAGGTTCTTGTAGAAGTTAACTATACTGGTTTTAATTCTGTCTTCCTCTTCCATCACTTCCCCGTTTACCATAATTCTTTTAATGGAGTTTTCCCTTCTTCTAGCTGTTGTCATTTTGTGAAAAATTTTTGTATTGTTATCTCCTTCTTTTAACCATAAGCACTTGGCTCTTTGCCTCCATTTCACTTCTTCCTGGGAAGCTATCTTGTCGAAAGTTGTCTTCGCATTTAATCTTTTCCTCCTATCTTCTTGGGATAAAAGACCCTCCTCTTCAGCTCTGTCTATTTCTTGTATTACTTCTAGGGCACTCTTTTTTCTTCTGCTCCAGCCCCATAAAGTCTCCATTCCTCCACCTTTTTATCTTCTCTTTTAGGACTTTTAGGTTTTTTGCTGAATCTATGACTTGCTGCCCCCACCACCTGTGTTTTCTCCCACCATCCCCTTAACTTCTCCATAAAACCTTCTTCCTGCAGCCAAAAGTTTTCAAATCTGAAAGGTTGGACCCCTTTGCAATCTAGACAAATCAGTGCATGGTCTGAAAGTGGCCTAGGCAAAGCCTCGAGGCATAGACTTGGGAACTTATCTTCCCACTCCGGGGAGACTACAAAATGGTCCAGCTTCACTAACGTCGCCTCTTCTTGATTATTTGTCCAGGTATATTTAGCACCCAGCAAAGGTAAATCCATAACTCCTACCTTTCGATGAAAGAAGCAAAACCTCTCATACCCCTATTTGGCCTGGAACCCCCTTTCTTCTCGTAAGAAAACCGGATTGTATTGAAGTCACCCCCTACCACCCAAGGAGAATCCCACTTTTGTCTCACGCCACCTAGCTCTGCCCAAAAGAGATCCCTCAAACTGTTATCATTTGGACCATAAACTGCAGTAATGACAAAATCCCAGCCTTCCTCTATAGCATTACACCAAATTGAAATTGAGAAAAGTCCCACTTCTGTTCCTTTTACCTCCACTGTATCAGTGTCCCAAATCACCACCACACCCCCAGATGTACCTTCAGCCAGTAACACAACCCAATCACAACTCCGGTCTCCCCAAATGCTTCTAATGACTTGAGCTTCCACCTCCTCCATTTTTGCTTCTTGCAAGCGAAGAATGTCTGCCTTCCAGGACCTCACCACCAAACCTACAACCATCCTCCTGCGACCTGAGTCCAAACCTCATGTTACAGGATACTAATTTCATTTTTGAGAAAAAACTTGTACCCTCCGTCCTCTGTTACAAAGAACTT